CTCGGCACCGGTCTTCGTACCAGTAGAACCTTTGCTACCAAAACTTTTTCTGATTACCCCAACACAGACAGGTGGAATGTTGTCCCGCAGATATGTCCCGTTCTCTGTGTTCCTGAAAGTCATGTTCCAGCCCTGCTCCTCTGCTGTCTTCCAGACTCGCTGAGTCTGTAGAATACCAGGAAAGTGAGCCGAAACCCGAGCAAGCACAACAACAAAAGAGTTCTCTCTATCCGCGTGCCGACGAGCCAAGAAGAGAAGCTGGAAGAGCAAAGCTAAGAAGTCGGGAGGCCACACACATGAGAAGCCCTGGCACAAAGCCTGGAACGGCGTAAAAGAAATTTAAGACCCATCTAAATTGAATCTACATCGCTGTGTGGCTCATGTGGCTTCATTGCCGGCGAGGTCTCGCTAAGGGCGGCCCGAGCACCGCCCACGACGACACCGATTGCAGCACTTGGGCAACAAGTCGACTCTCTTGCCGACATACAAGCTTGTATGCCTGCTCTCCCTCTTCCTCGCTCGCTCTCTCTTGCTCTCCCTGTCATGCGTAGGGCCTACGTGTTTGAAAGCACCTGTCCACACCGGACCTCTCTCTGTGGCTGTGCTGGCTGTGACATGCCTGCAAACTAAAACGTCCTCGCACGGCTCTTGGCCCAATATTGCCTAATTACTGACATCTTGCTGACCCAAGTTGTGCTGGTTTCACCTGATCACATGACCCTTGCTGTTCTGAAGCCTCGCGTGCAGCTTTGAGGTGTGAAGGCGAAGACTCCGGACTCGCAGAAGGCCCATGAGGTGGAACCTGCACAGGAGATGCTAAGAAACCTCATCAACCTGAACGTGGCAAATAGTTAATTTGCCGCTTCGTGACGTAGTTGCACTCGAGGAAGTCTATGTTCGAGGAAATCGGGAATCGAAAGGAGGTCCAAAAGCTGAAAACGACGCAAATTCCAACTCTAAGACATGGCAGGACATGGAGGATGCGTACTGAAGGCATATGCGGAGCCAAAAAGCCAGCACAAGCACCCTGAATAGAATTCCGATGTAAATGCCATCGGCCGGTTGCTGAGGCCTTGAGGCAAGCACTCATCGGTGACGCACATGGCAGCGATGATGTCCTGAAGTCTAAGCGTGTCCGTTGCCGTCGCCAACGTCTGCCAGCACAGCAGTCATGTCTTTTCACTCGGCGGCTGGACAATCCAAGAGGGAGCGTGACGCCCTTGATGCATCTGGTCATCCGCTCTACGAGCAGTACTGGGCCAGCAGGGATGGGATCGTGGGACGCCACAAGCCGGGGAAAGCTGACCTCCTGATAAGTACTACGGAATTCGGCAAGTGCACATTTTGCGGCGCATGAACACCGACTCAGGCTCTGGCGATGCAGAGAGCGCGCCTGCCAGTAGAGTACTTCCAGTTTCAGCTTGGATGCGCATGACACAAGTCGCCTCCCCACACTACCCATGAACCGCCCCGATCTGCAGACCAATAGCAAGCTGTGTGCACATCCGGCCTCCTGCATGACTGGTCAGGCAAGGCGACACGCCCTAGCAATGGTGCAGACATGTGCAGAAGTACACCACCTATGCAACAACAGCTATGACGTGAAAAGGTCTTTTAAATTTTAGCGAAACGGTATCTACCACAAGCCATCATCACTACGGGATCTCTGCAAGGCTTGCCGGAAGCAGGCTGAGTGGACGCTTCCGTGTGCCGCAGCCAAAGTAAGGGTGTGGAGTGTGGAGTGCCTCCAGCCACTGCGCTGGAGAGCAATTGCCCACCTCAGGCCATGCTGATAGCCCTGCATAGTGCCCCGCCCAGCATCGAAACATGCCGAGCAGAGGCATGACAATACGAAATCACTAGGTGACTAGATGCAAGGCACAGGTGCTGACACTTCATGCTACGACAAATGCCCAACTCAAAGCCGCGCGACAGGTTCGGTGAGTCTCAACAGATTCGGAGGACGTTGTTCAAGCAATTTGCATGTAACGCAGAAGTCCCCGCGCGCCACTGGCCATTGAGGCTGCACTTCCCAATCCACGGCGCGGCTACGATACCTACATTGGGTCCATTCAGTCATACGGCAGTAGCCCTGGATACAAGCTTGCTACCTGACTGCCTCGGCTGCGACATGATCTCGGATGCTGACCGAATCGGCCTCCTTCTCACCCAGCTCCTCATTTAAGTCTGTTTTCTTTGCTTTCCCATCTTCTGCAGTGCTAACTTCCGGTGCACGTTGACTCGCGGGTCCAGTGCCTTTGGTCTAACTTCGCAGCGGTCTCGCTGCCTTGGGGTAGATACTTAAAATCATATCACAGGGCATTGGATGCTGTGACAAGGGGCTCGCGCATCTTTCTTGTTTTGAAGAACCTTTGGCTACTACGGCTCAGGCTGTAGGCTCTCACAGCTCGGTCCAGCCGGGTGAGATGTCTCTGTTCGCGGGTCGGGCGAAGCAGAATGCACCTCAATGGATGAAAAAGCAGACCTGCATTAAGATCAAACAGAGAAGATAAGCGCAAGCAAGGAGGTGTGGTTGTAGCCTACGTAGGGGCCAAACCAGCTGACACTACTTCACCACCATGTCGGGCACGCTCTACAAACTCCAGCCGAGCGGATCAAAGTTAACTGCAATAGGGCCGGTCCCGCATCCCAGAAATCTGCAAAGCAGCAGGCTTCTTGGACACCTACTACTACTACTACTACTACTACTACTACTACTACTACTACTACTACTACTACTACTACTGCTCATACAGTGTTATGCCCACTTGTTCTGCCTTGACAAGGAGGGCAGCTTTTTACGTGGGTCCACGACTGCACGCTCCGGCTCATTTGCTCTGAGACTGGCTTACGCTCTCACAACTCGGACTAGCCAGGAGAGGTCGGCAGTGAAAACCACAGCGAGGGTATCTCAACCAACCAGACAAAGTACAACGGCGCCACGCTGAACAACCGACATCTACTGCGTACGATCCCAGAATACCAATCCCGGCTGTTCTTGAACAAGAACTTTGTCTTGCAAATCATGCGCGCCCTCTGCAAACTCCGAGACGAGGCAGCTAGCCCTACAGCAACTTCGACAGTCAAAACCAAGCACGTCACAAAGGAATCCACTGGTTTAGGGTTTGCCCGTTTCGGATGCCTTCAATTGTAAGCGACCCCCATGTGGCCCATGTCGTGCAAGCAAGAATGGTCCAGTGGGCCGAAACTTTTGTCCTCCAGATGTACCCCTGTTTTATCCATCCTTTCACTCTCCCATGAAAGGAAGGGAATGCTCCAGTACAGTGAGGGGTGGTGACAAGAAGCTGCAGTCCTCCAGCTCCTGCAGCATTTCGCGGACCTTTGCCTCAGCAGGTGCTGAAGAACTTGCAACCGTTATTGCAACCCTCCTTTCTACTCCCGCCACAAGAACAAGCACTCAAAACATGTCCAAACAGCAACCATACGAACTCCGACTCCATTGTGCACACCTCGTCCTCCATCAGTTGCTCGATGGCAAGGGTCTTGATGGCGCACTCCTCTTGGCGGTGGGCACAGCACGCGTGAGGAATGGGAAGACTGCAACTTGTGCGTGTGTGAGCAAACGAGAACCACAGGATACTACAGGCTGCAAGCGACAGCATGATGGAGGCATGTTAGCACGACAAGGCGCAACTCTTTTCACCGAACGGTTGGCAAGGAACCCTGGAGCATTGCCATACAGCCGACTCGGCATAGGTTTTGGTTTCTCTGTATGGCAGACGTTTGGCAGTGCTCCGGCATTGCTCAACGCCACTTCCTTTGGAAATGGTCTTCGGAGGAGTTTACAAAACTTCAGATTTGCTGACTATGCACATGGCACATGAACAGCTTGAGAGGGCCTGTAATCCCTCGGACTCCATGATGCACAGCACAAGCATCAGTCAGGCGTGACTCGCAGAGGTGTGTTGTGTCACGAATGCAGCCCTCACAATGCAGTGTGCTGCGCACCATCGAACGGTCTAGTTCTGGCCTTGGGCGACGTAAACTTCAGCCGCGTGAGCGGAGCTCTGCTTGACTGGCGATGTCTCTTGGAATGCGATAGTCGGATCCCTTCCGGACAACTGCTGCAGTAGCGACACAGCCGGAAACAGTGTCCAGCGTCATTGACGCTTCTAAGCACTGCAAAGGGTATGCGACGATGATGCGCGAAACGTCTGAACAAGAGGTGCTGCGCATAAGCCTTCTCTTGCGTTTCGGACAAACTGGTCTAGTCTCACGGTTAAGCAGTCATGCAGAGCGACTCTAGATGCAGGGGCTGCTGCAATATCCGGCGGTAGGACGCGCGATGGGTGGATAGCCAGATCTGGTCCTACAAATCTCACTGCAAATGCAAGATGGCCTTCGTCTCACTACAGAGAAACCAGACTCTCACAAGCGGCATGTGTGCGGCGAATGGTGTGCGCCGCAATAGCCGGAAGATCTCAACACGCGCATAAAGCCAGCTCAGCCAACAGTCAAAGAAGCGCAGGCACTGAAATGAACAACCTCCCTCAACGGAAAAAGCCTAGTCTAGCCGAGCAGGAGGGGCATCTGGGCAGAGGCAGCGCAAGTCTGCGGGTTTGAAACTAATTAGATCTTATGGTGAGCAAAGCCTCAGATTTGAAAAGCCTCCCTGACCCTTGAGTCAAGCTCCAGCAGTCCAGCAGCACAGAGTGAAAGCCACTACACACAACTCGAACTCAAAGTCACCCAATGGCTTTCCACCGTCAAGTGAACGGAAGCTGCACCGCCCTCACACTGGCGGCGTGGGTGACACGTGGTGACTCAGCGCAGAGTTCGCAGGGTCGATAACCTGCGGACCACCGCATCGGGCATGCTCTACTCTACCAAGAGTCACGAAAGGAACAAGAGGCAGTCAAAACACATTCGGTCTGACTGAGTCTGACTGCTGTGTTCGTACTGCAGGTCTTGCCGAACTAAAGCCCAGCGGCTTGAAGCAGAGAACGGACCTGCTTTGCAATCCTCAGCACGGTTGGCAGTCAACCACACCAAGCCGGCCAACTTGGTGAACTGCCGAGAAACTTTTGTGTTTCGCGCCGAAGCTTGTACACATCGATGCCTGGCAAAGGGGCAGGAGCCGTAAGCGATTCTCTGTGACATTCTGCCATCACAATTCAGATTTCCAGCCGCGAGCTTCGGGCAGTCAAGATGCTTCTCGCGTGGCCATGAAATTGCCTGATTGCCTGTTCCTCAGCTTGCACCAGGCAGCTTTGTGAAGCCGGCACGCCGGCAGGACTTCAACTTGCACATTGGCATGGCCGCTTAAGTGCACGGAACCCACATCGACCCACGTTTTGCAAGCTTAGATGTATGGCATCCACGGGAAGAGACCCCTTCATCGCGACGACTCAGTATCCCTCCGGCTCCACCCTTGTAACTTCCCAGGCACAAACGACGATTGATCGATTTTTCCCTCGGCATCCACGTCGAAGAGGTCAAAAAGCTCATCCACGGTGTGGTTCCTGGGGCCAGCAAGGCATCTGTCTCTGTGCCCTTTGCAGCATCGATTGCAACGAATCTTTATCAAGGGCAGGGCGCCTGCCAAAGGTTTGCTTGCAGACCGAGGCTCTCCACATTTATCCCCAGGTGGCGGAAACAGTCTTGAACCCGCTCATCCTGCTGCCAGCGGGTGAGTGGGCGTGAACTTGAGATACAAGTACTTCGAGGATCATGGGACTCAGCAAGTAGGGTTAGAAGCAAGGTAACTATACTTCTATCTACTTATAACCTTAGTTAAGGTACTTATAGCCCTACTAAGTCCCATGATCCTCTAAGTAGCTTGTAAAGATTCGAGGAATGACTCGTCATGACTTGATGCTTCGCAACGGCGGCCTGCACGGCTCGAGTCGTCACACGCGACTGATGACGAACTGGAAGAAAGTGTCTTTAACACAACTCAAAGGGCAAGATGTTAAAAGGATACCTTCAAATAGGAGGCGCATGCTGATGTTCCTCTATTCCAATCCCTCCCAGTGCCTGTATCTCTGCTGCGAACTCTTCGTACGAGAGGTCACCCTCTTGGCCTCCAGCCAATGACTACAAACACCAACTCGACTTCAGCAACAGAGCTGCTCTCGACAAGGGCATGTCATGTACCTAAACCCGAAGAAGTGGAGGCTCGCGGCTATCTTGAACTTGATCTACTGCAGTCCATTTGCAGCAAATGTTAGGCCAATGCCACCAGTAGCGGTCAGTAGCGAAAGCAGAGTCGGCACGGCTTGCCATGACGAAGACGTGCCATGACTCCAGAACTGCAGGGAGACTAATCTCAACGATGGCGCATGCATGCCAAACAGGCAACTTGTGCAGGTTTTTTTCTGTACGAGTGGTTGCTACCTCCAAAGCGAGCGCGAGAGAGAGAGAGAGAGGGAGTGGTTGCTACTGAGGTTGATGGGGTGTCATTCTGATTGAGATCGCTCCTGGACTCGAATGACTCGAGGTAAGGGTGCACCCGAGGACCATGCAAGCGGAATGATCGTCGCACTGTTTAGCGAAGCTTTAAGCTCAAGCCGATACTTGGCTGCTGGTAGTGGAATGCAGTGCCATCGGAAACCCGGGGAGCATGTCTCGCATCGGTCAAGGTGCCAGAGTCGAGCTGGGCGAAGAGGGCCAGCACTTTCTTGACCCACATTTTCCGCTTCAAAGCCCTGAGTTCCCATGGCGGGGTCAGGGGAACTTCAAGCGAGGCTCGGGGTGGTGTGTTGAATTCCCGTGGCCATCGACCAACTGATGACTACCAGTACGACTCTCGCTCTAGCGCCAGGGTGATGGAAGGGCAAACCTGTGAGGCAACAAAGACAATCTCAAGAGGGCCGCCCTTCAGGCGAATGGTATGCACAATGTGCCTTACCCGAGCGAGCTTCACCAAGACGAGCTCCGAGCGCTCACTTTCCCGGCGCCACTCTCTTTTGTCTTCTGATCTCTCTCAATCTATAGCACAGGCCAGCAATCAATATACAATGCCTGCCAGGAAGAAAAGCCCCATGCCATGCAATCAGACGGATTTCTGCAGCTTTCCACTAAGGCCAAGCTTCAATGCAGAGCGCTGATGCATTGCTTCCGTTTCGCCCAATGCCTGCGTAATCAGCACTGTGAACTGTGACTCAACGATTCGAGTCTTTCACCCCGGCATATCCGCACTTGTCCATGTCTCCTTCCTGACCAAGGCAAGCTAGAGTAATAATCCCAAAAGAGGTACAACCTGCACACATGCGCGATGATCTCATATGTGCTTCATGTCAACTCAGCCATCTGGAGGTGGCGCCTTCGCATTGTCCACAAAAATGCCTGTTATCACCTTGGCTGCCGCTTGTCGAATTCCTGCCGCAGCCCCCTGCATCAGCTCGCCAATTCTATACCGAGTCATGCACGTGCCATGACTGGCTTCGAAAACGAGATGAATGAAGCATCCAAGTCACATTGATGAAACAGAACAAAGTAAAAAACACCTCGGCTGAGTCAGCAAAGTTGTCGTGGAGGCAACACTCCAATGCTTCAACTGACCGAGTTTGCAGGTCAAACTCTTCACAAGAAAAATCTGGGACTTCTACATGCTTTCTCGCCAAGGCACGTACACGCCCATGAAGTAATCCTGGTTGAAAGAAGTGCATAACTCTGACTCTGCTATAGTTACGGTATTTACCTTCAAGAGCCGTCAGTCCAATTTCCAGGCGTCCCTCTTGGTGACTACAATCACGGCATTGGGCATAAGACGAAACTACACTAAATACACAGTCGAGACGCGGTAGCTGGATGCCCGAGGAAGCTTGACAACACTATTAACATGCAGGGGTGCATGCAACCACATACGTACCTGCCCCGCCGGAGAATGCCGAGAGGAATTCATCCAGAAAGACTGATGATTACACTTGACGGAAGACGAATAAAAAAACAATGCATTTTCCATTCGCCATGGTGCATGAAGTATTGGTAGCCTAGCAGCTACGGCTTAGCAGTCTCGACTAGCGATGATCGCCGTCATCTGCCGAGCTTACATTGGCTGACAACTTTCGCATGACCTATGTCTTGCGAGGATTTCCCGGAGCCGGATCCGGGAGGTTTTTTACACTGGATGGCTTCCTGGAGCACCAGCTGCCACAGTGAGCTAAGCTGCACTCCCACAATACCCAGCGGTGGCAGACTCAAACGCTCCAACACCCCGATCAGAGCCCTGACTGATGTTGACTCTGCGGGCAAGAATCCAAGATCCAGCTCATCGGCCCAAGCGGAGCGACTGAATCCTTCCAATCTATACCTCCACCCATCGAGCCGAGTGAGTTTGTTATTAACACACACACACACACCCTGATCCCAAGACAAGGTCTGTCAAAGCAGATCTCATATACGCACTCTGGCTCGATCACTGAGGCAAGCAGAGCCGGCCTCCGGATATGGCCATGAAGAGCGTCAGCATGCTTCCTTTTCAACAAGGCTACCTTCAGATTGACTCCCTCAGACTTCAAAGAGGATCTTTGCCTACTGGGAATGTCCACTCGTTCGGCTGAACCACAAGGCGGCGAAGGCTTACTCAGGTCATCCATATACCTTGAAGCTAGTGGGCTGCATGGGAACGAACAATGACCGCGAGGTTCTACGACTTTTCGCGTAAATAGTTACAAATTTACCGTCGTGATCCGAACAACAAATCGTCATAATCGTATGCGTTGACACAGGGGGCACGCTTCCGTTGTCATGAAACTGTCATGTTGCAAACATGTGCTCTACACTACGGGCGAAATGGCAGGGCTAGGGTCGAAGATAAAGGCCCTGGCAAAGAAGCAATCTAGACACTTTAGAAAGCAAGGTCATGCACTCCACTGGAGACACAATGCACCAACACACACGTTCAGGAACAGAGACAAAGCCCACAACAAAAGCACAAATGCAGACAGACATATAGATACATTGGCATAGATTTACAAGCAGCACATACATGAATAAATTTTTAGCACTGGCAGCTTGACCAAGTCAGCCGAGGTTTGGAGAAGTCCAATTACAGAGTTCAAGAAGCACGCAGATTCACTGGCACGTACATAGATGCAGCTACGATTGTTCGTATGACCATACGTAATTATGTACATATATATATATATACATATGTCGGTACGTACGTAAGGTATCCGTGCGCTTCGTCCTCTCTTCTTCTTCAACACCGGGCAAGCTCTTCATCCGGCTCTGTGCCGGTATCTGCTTGCAGCCGTTTGCGTGAACAACATACTCACACACTCGTACTCCCGGCAGCAGTTCGCTGTAACCAGGGCTGTAACCTGATGATGGCTATTTATGGCTCCTGAAGCAATCCTCCCTCCGACCTCCACCGAGCCGAGACACTGCCCAAAGTACCGTAGTACTTCGTCACTTCAGCTGTGTCAGCACTGTTCGTCTGAAGATGCGCATACGCCAGTTGCATGAGGGTGACACCGAAGATGAACCTTAGAAAACGTAGCTTTGCTTGCGCCTGCGACGAACCACAGCGTGACGCAACCCAATGATCCCAAAGTGAGGAAAGAATGTCCGGTGCACGGTTCGTGAGGGCCGCGGGCCTGATACTGCAAAACGCTGAGCGAGCAGGTTGACATGCATGGCGGGTAGCATGACGATTGCCAGCAGTATCAACGCCCAGAACAGGACTCGAACAGACCTTGGCGGCGACGTGTCAACACACACACACACACACTGATGCGCTCACAGACACAGCCTTCACTGGTGGTTTGGCTGTGTGGGTCACCAATTGCAGGACGAGTTTGAACGGATGGAGAGCTGGCCGGCAGTAACGGGTAGTACTCGCTCTTGGGCTGAGGGCATCAATCTTCAGGAGTTGGCAATACAAGAGAAATTCGAAGTTGACAATGCAAGAGTAATTGAACAGTGTAAGCAGTGGAGCAGTATTTTGGAGTCGATGCTGTTCGGCACGCTATTGAGATGTTGTCTCTTAAGCCGCAGGCTTTCAATACATTCGTCACCCCACAGCGAAATGACGCCTTTTCCCCGCCCGAAACATCTGGAATAGCTCATCTGGAATCAGTTCAGTACATGTCGTCCTGCGTTTACTAGCAAAGGACTGAGACTGAGAGTGCCCGATTCTTCGTGCTAGGCTTGATGATTCGGGAGAAATGGGGTGCTGAATACTTCCACGTGCAAACCCCTTCCCCCAGTCGAAGTGGGTCGCACATTATGGCAGAGCCGCCCTGCAATTCCATTGACCATGATGCGCAGGTCGCTGCAGAAACGAACAACTCTCCTGGGCAGGCGTTCGCTTCCCTCCTGTTCTTTCCACTCGAGGTACTTTGATGACTGGCTGGACACTTCGATGCACCGAGGTTTATTCTGACTACCCTTGATTGTAATTTATAAGCAGTATCACTCGCACCTAGTGCAAGCGGCTAGTAATGCTTACCTACTTCTGTCAATATGACGACGACGCTGAGGGTGCCCTGCGAAACTACTACTACGACGACTACGACTACGACTGCGACTGCTGCTACTACTGCTACTACTGCTACTACTACTACTACTACTACTACTACTACTACTACTACTACTACTACTACTACTTGTGCTGCTACGGCCGCTGCTACTGCTACAGTGCCACTGCCACTGCCACTGCTACTGCTATCGCTACTGCTACCACCGCTTCTCCTGCTGCTGCCGGCTGCTACTACCACCGTCTCTGCACCAACACCACCATTACTCCCACCACAACTACGATACTACGACGACTGCATACTGCAACCGCCACTATGCTCACCCATATCAACAACCGTAGCCAGGCCCTACTTGTGGCAAAATTTCTTGCTTATTTGGCTTTGTAGTAAACGGTTGAATTGACGGAGCGACCGTATTCACTGGAGTTTTGGCACTAGCACAGGCACATCCGAAAGCGTGACCTAATCGTTGGCCAGGCGCAGCAGTCTCAGGACACGCACCAAGCGTATCATGCGCAGGAGTCGGAACTGAGAAAGCTCGATTGCAAATCCTGCAACCCGACCAGGCGCGATCGGACAGCAGTGGCTCTTGCAATTGCTGTATGAACTTTTGCACCGGCTTTCGCGACGACCCACGGCCTAGCAGCACGATCGCCTCATCGGCCGTCGATATGGCCTTGGAGGTGCGGAATCAACCAAAAGCAAGACTCTGTCTTCTGGTCAGATAGATTCACATTAGATGGGCATGGTTATCCCGGCCTATAGAAACAGCCTGTCACGGAGATGTTGTTAAGCTGCCATAGCCCAACTCAAGCCTCAAATCCGGCTGGGATGCGACAAAGAAGGTGTCCATCCAGTTCCATCCAAACCTCGTCAACTTCCGAGCGTAACACAGTCGTTGCAAATTCAAGCTTTCGATGCTTCACCGTTGCGCTTGAAAGTGTCGGTAAAATTTCTACACCCTGTCACTGTCAAGGTTGTATGATTTGGCACGGGCCACTGCAGGACTGTTCCTACACCAATGTGGGCACACCGTGTCCCTAAAAGGCTCTTGCAAGAAAAAACCCGCCTGACATGGAGGGCAGGCTTGTGCGGGTAACTGCTTTCACTCAACACTCCAATTTCGCCAAGGCACTCTGGGTTCGTTGTGCTGAAGAACATTTTGCCGTCTGCAAAAATGCGCAGGAAGAGCTCCACCACGAACGCCACGCACCAGGTGATGTCGAATATGCGGAAAACTACCTCGAAATGGCTCTGTATCACGGCAAGACATGTTAGCGCTCCTGCTTCTACGCCGGCGTGTGTCTGCGGATAAATGAGCAATCGCGACTGGAAGATCAAGCACCGCACAGCACAACCAGTGCAACCAACGGGCATGCGGCTCCTTGGCTTCTGCAATGTGCGTACATGTCTGCACAAACTGGTACGAGTAAATCTCTTACCGTATTACCTACCCGTCCTCACTTCCAGCATCTTGCCCTCCTTCGGAAATAGAAGCGGGAAACTGTGTCGGCCACCACGAACGGACAGACCCGCAACTACAAACTAGTGAATCAATCCCAGCTGCTGAATTGATATCCTGCATTGCCACATGTGTTTCGGCACCCAAGGTTGCTGACGATGCCAGCAGCGTCACCATCACCAGCAGCTCAAAGCGGGCATTGCGCACCAGCTGGTGGCACATTCCTAAGCAATGGAAAACTCTTCGTCTATTCAGTCTATTCCATCCGATGCGGCTTCAAAAGTTGAAGCGCGTGCACCCTTCGACCCTATATGATATAATTATTATAATTAGAAGGAGTCGTCAGTCTTTTTGGTGTATAGCTACACAAATAATAAGTCTGACAGTACGTAGGTGAGCTTTCCCTGTGCATTGACTCAAGGTCTCTCTGCACCTCAGACTGACAGCAGGCAGGGCGCGTCTGTGCCATGGCATGTCCGACTCCTTGCAAGCGTAATGGAACTGCAGCTTGGTTTGGAGGATTGTTCGTGCCACTACAAGGAAGCAAACATAAAGGGCAGCGTCATCTCTGCTCTAAAACATGCAGATCTGTGGCATTGAAGTGGTACGTCGTCACCGACTTTGCAAGAGGAATTGGGGTACCAGAACCTCAGGTCACAACAAGCATCTGCGGGTTTGGAACGGGGTGAACAGCGCCTGAAAGAGTAATGTGTGTTGTACTTGTAGATCATGCAAATCACTCATACGGATGTGCATGATTCAAGCTCCGCACTTTCACACTATGGGTCGACACCGCCGAGACATACGCACACGCACTCACACACACAAAACAAAAAGAGAGAGATAGAGAGAGAGAGAGAGAGATGCAACACAGGAGAAAAAAACTGCGGAAGCTTAGCAAATCATTGAAACTTGTTAGTTTCCGCGGGGCCGGGGTCAGATTGGACGCAAGGCTGGTGAGGTTGCTAGAGTCTAGAGTGCTATTTATGTTTGTGAGTCCACCAGGTATCCACCGCAGGACCCGCACACACACACACACACTCACACTCATGCACCCACACAGCCATCATTCAACCCACCTGCTAATGTCAGCCGAACTCTCAGGCGCGTCTGTGCAGTCTTCTCTCGACTCTTTTCACGTCCAGGCCCATTTCCTTCTCTCGTTGGAACCACGATCACATGACCGCTATGTTCTCGTTCTGTCATCGGTCACTTGCTGCACGTGCTGCCATGCAGCTCCTCTTTTTCTCCCCCATCCTCAGACCCGGCCGTCAGTGGGCGGTCGGTCACAGCTTGTGATTGCACCTTGTCATCTAAGTATATCTAAGTCTCGTTGCACTCTTGGAGAAGGACACCGTGAGCTTGGCTGGAGATTCTCTCGACAAGCTGGGCCTTTGCTGCTCCTGTCGCCGGCAGTTGAGTGCATTTGACAAGTCTTGCATCACTGCAGGCCGGCCTCAGACACCTCGCGATTGCCCACGGTATTCCTCGGCCCAACCCACAACTGTATGGCTGCGACGGTGGAATCCAACATGCAGGATGGGTGCTCCCAGAAGTCTGCTGGAAATGAGCAAGGTGGATGCCGAGTTCATCTGAGTTCTGCGGGTTGGTAGCCCCTATCCGATATCCCCCGTTGCTCAGGTCTGCAACCCTCAAACCGTCGTATCGATCTCATTAAAGCGATAACTGGTCATGCCTGGAGGCCGCTTCCATGATGCGATCTCTGTGGCCGGAACCAATGCAGACTGCCGCAGGCCTTCGCAGGAGCACTGCTCGGGAGCTGCAAAGAAAGTGTTCCTAGACGCTTAAAGCCGAGCTGAGCATGTGGCAGCTGCTGGGGAGACTTGGCGGTGGAAGGACAGGACCTGCTTCTCTTCGCAGCAATTCGACTTCAAGTGGGAGTGTGTTAGGCATGCTCGACTGCTCCACTCCCCTCCTCTTTCAGTGACAGATCATGCTGAAAAAGGTCGTCGCAAGGTTGCGCAACCCAACAGATAGGCGGTGAATGACGAGCTTCAATCTTCAAACCCTCCGCAGACGTTTGCTGGCTTGACTGTGGTTTTCGCAGCCTGGGCCGGAACCTGAGAAGCTTTTAGCCCTCCCCACTACTGTTTCCAAAAATCTCGTGCAGTGAATTCATACTTGCGGCTTTCATATTCAGACCAGCGACTTTCTGCCGTGACATGGAGCGGGACTGGGATGTCCTGTCAAGCGTCTTGCGAAATATATCGCTTTCACCCGCAGACTCACAGGTCTGAGCATGTCTGAGCTGATCATGCTGATGGCGGGCCCAATCGGACAGTCCCATGTCGATAGTCCTTCTGCAGTTCTGCTACAACGGACGTGGCTTCTTAGGCTGTAATTCATCTTTCCTCAAGGGGCCGCTCGACCCTGGGGATGCGGGTCCTGCGTATTGATGCAGCCAGGTTGGTCAAGTTGAACACCATGCACATGCCTCCACAGCAGCTGGGTCCAAGACCAGAGGTCACTGGCATGCCATCAACATGCCGCGCTGGGTGGCGGAATCACACAAGGTGTCTCTTTCTTGACTGCCGAAACAACAAATCCATGACTCCTGCAACACAGGAGAATTACAGAACGAATGCCATACCAGATGCTCCACAGCGAAGCTAGCGATGTCTCATTCCAGCCGAGCATCAAAGGCAAGAGTTCCTGATGAACCTGAAGAACCCGCTGCTCCAGAGGTGCAAGTTGGAGCCGCACGGCCTACAAAGGTCATGCAGGCCAGCTTGTCAAAGAAGCCGTCTCAACATACATAGGGTCAAGATGATCAAGACTTCAACATGAAGGGGTGTTCGAGAGCCCTTCGACGTGGTGAGATGCTGCATGTTAGACTGCAGTCGGTTCCAGCCAACTTGATGCCACGGCGCTTCTTTTCCAAGCCAAACCGAGCAAGCACGCTCGGACAGCTCTGTAAGCCGAAGGAGATTTGTTCCGAAGCTTGGCGTGGGCCGAGGTGTCTACCGTGCTTGCATGACCACTTGGCTGTTGAGGCAAGCCTACCGAAGTCTGGGTGCGCATCAAATCCAGGTCCTCGCGGCGATCCTTGTATCTCTGGCACAGCTCAACTCCTTCCTGGCGTTCATCCTTCGGACTCACTGCCTGGCGTGGTGAGGAACGGCAGTTTGCCCAGGCCTCACTGTTCTAATGCTTCTGAAAGGCCCCATGTTAAAAGGACCGGTCAGTGAAGGCGACGGGATTGCTGCAAAATGATAAAGATCTGAAATACAAGTACCACCCTGGCCATCAATGACCCCTAAGACTCTAAGTTGAGCCCGGCTCGCACCTTCGTGCGAGCCAGGCGCCCCTGACAGGCACGGACGATCCACGTCCATCCGAGCCTGGGAAAATTCCTCTCATGGCAAAGACGCCGTATCTCCTGGCCTGCGGATTTGCTCCTCGACTCGCAAGCGCATTGTGACAGCTTCACTGTTCAACAGCGGCACTGCCGAGAGGAGCCTTTACGGTTGGATATCGGATAGCACGCTCTTGAAGCAAGGCTTTCAGCCATTTGTGTTGCTTCAACCATTTGGAAATTTATCCAGCAGGTTTCACCTGCGCCGCAGTCTCACTGGACCCTCGCGTCTTCGAGAGGAAGTCTACAGATGGAGACTGGAGCAACGAAAGCAAAACTTGCAAAACTACTCAGAGAGGTATCTTCTGCGTCTCCTCCTCTACTTCTGCGACGTCGCACATGTCCCCTCTCATGACGAAAGCAGGAGCATCTTCGTCGATGTCTTCGATGCCTTTGATGTGCTGTGAAAGTTCTGTTTATGCATGCAGTGCGTACTGTGGTAGCAGCTGTTGCTTCTACCCAAACCGCACTAACTCGTGACATCAACTGCACTTGACAGGCTGGGCGCGGCCCATCGCTCTCTCATCTACGACGGACTCCATCAGCATCTCCAGTGGCATGTCATAACTTCGTACACCTGCAGGCTAGTGCAACAAGGTTCTGACATAGCAAGGCCATCCATTCTAGACCGGGAAGCTGTTGCAACTACAAGGGGAACCCTCTTCAGGAAGCCTCACATTCTTGAAGCAGTTCTCGCTGCAACACCGCTGGTCATGCAGACGATGCCCCGACCTAACCCAAGATCCTATGCATGCCTTGAATCCCTCATACCCTGCCAGGCCACTTAGTGCACCTGGGCTAGGACAAAACATGCCTCAGCTGCAAAACGCAGACAGGCCCTCACTCCGCACCTAGATACGGCTCGAACTGCAGAAGGGATGGAGCAGCTCTAACGCTCCATAGAAGCAGGCGCCACTGACCAATGTAGGTTCAATTCGGGTAATGATACCAGTCACACTTTTTGGCTTAACCTGCACACGTCGGACTAAGTGACGCAGAATCTGAGAATGCGCAGACAGACCCTCGAATCTGGGAGACTAACTCAACTTCAGGAGCGTTGCTGCTTTCCAAGCGTGGAGTGATTGCGGGGCTTGAGCACGCGGATTCCAGATTGAAGTCGGCTGGTTCCTCGTGAGGCCAAGCTCGAGCACGGCATCGAGGCAGAACTGAGGGAAGAGCTTCGCTTAAGGTGACACGCTGACCCTTCCCAGGCATTGCCAGAAAAGGAAACCTAATTAGGGGCGCAAGCCAAAGAGAACAACGCTTCAGAAGCCCTCAGCCGTGCTGCCATGGAGTTGGCGCCATCTTTCAATGTCTCGTCATGTTCCAGATCCTCAGTCTTCAGACAAGCAGAAAGAGAACCTCTGCATCAAATTCGTGGCTCCCGAATCACATCCACTCCCTCCTTTTGTACCTTGCTTCGCAGTTGCCGCACTGAGAGTGTTGTCGTGGGATTTACCGGCTATGTTCTCATGTTGTCCGATACCGCCAAGGCACCTGGGCCAACCCCTCCACGTTGTTCTGATACTTCCGGAACCTGTGAGACGGCAGTAGGTCTCAGTAGGTTGCAAGGACCCATAGCAGATGACCATGCCAAGGCCTTTCTGCCAACCTTCGCCTGGTACCAGCTCCATCCTCAACCGTTGTGCCGTGCCTCGTGCAGATCTCCTCGATTTGTTTCTTGATGAGCGCGGATGACCCGTGCGGGGAGAGCGGCAGCGCGAGGAGTTGCAGCAAAGCGCCTTACATATTCTGAAACCGCGGACAAAGCCGTGGCAGCTGCTCGGGTGCTCTTTTCCCTTCACCTCCGCAGCCAAGTGGCGATAGGCGTGTTCGAGCCGGCCCCCAACCTGTGACACAGAACTCGCCTTGTGCAAAGAACGCTCAACCTGTGAAGCAGAACTCGCCTTTAGATGACAGGACAGCAACCCCGTTTAGGAGCGCCTTCAGAGTCTTCAGAAAGAAAGGGCCCCGCCAGCAACTAGCAGCCATGCCTGCATGGCCCTGGAAGTTTTGTTACATAAGCTCTTGCTCAGCATCCAATTGACCGAGAACACAAATCAGGCGGTGCTAGTCTGACAACTACGGGCCCAGAACCTGCCTGATGTCCGAAGCCAAGTCCGAAATGGCGAAGTTCGTCGTAGAACTCGGAACCTCAGCTCGGGGATAGTCGCCCACTCGTTCGGATAGCCGAATTCCTGGGATTTTTGCCCTCAGCCCGAAGCAACTCGATCAGAGTGTCCTCCGGCCCCCCTGCTCAACATGACACCCCTCAATCCCCGTTCAGCACCAGCGCCAGGAAATTCAAAGTTCGGGTCCGCATTGACAGTGACCAGTTCCAAATGTCGTTCCGAGGCCCGTGAACTTGCTGAGAGTGTCCTGCGATTCTGTGGAATTCGAACAGGGACAAGCTTGGACACAGGCTGTTAGATGGCCGCATTTGGAAACAACACTGACCAGCTGAACAGCAGCCTTTCAAAGCTTGCTGCATGCGATGTTGCAAGGAGTGCGCCTCGATACCATCACGGAACCGCCAAAACTCGGAGAAGCCGTTGCTGCGAGCAGAAGACGAGCAAAAGACGGATCACGTAGCATTCCCCGCGACAGCAGCACCACAAAGTAGGATGCATACGACATCATCATGCGAACCTGCATCCATCAGCTTGCTGCTATGACTGCTTCGATGCTACAGCTGCATGGGGGTTCTGCGGAGATGTTGCCTCAAGCTCCGTCCGGACGATGGCACAGGTCACTTGCAACCGCTTCTGGACCATGTGCTGGCATATCTCGAGAACACTCAGAGCTTCCGCATCTTGCACGGCACCCGTCATCAGGATCCGCGCCTTAGCTCTTGCTTTGCAGCGACCCTCAAGCCCGTGGTTGCTTAGAAACAAGCCCATTGTGGACTGAACTTGGCCGAACCGCCGCCCATAGCGAACCAATCCGGCGAGTCGCTGCCGAGTTGGTGAAGCTACAGTAGGTAGTAATTTCTTTGGGTCAACAAAAGAATAAGCGACAAAAATCAGCCGAGTCGCCTTGGAAATCCTGCCCAGGTTTTCACTGTAGGTTTTGCGCGAGAGGGCACATCTCAAAGCTATCTTCTCGATGGCTTCCTTAGCACATTCTGGTCTCTCCGGCACTGTAGGCCCTGGGCCGAGGACGACAGAAGCCCATGAATCGCTTTGGTCTGAGCCTATGTCGGGTTTTGCCAGTCTGCTCTGGAACCCTTCAGATCTTGCCCGGAAACGCAGATGTGGTCTGAAGCACTAACAGGCCCATTTTGCCCAGGTTCATGCTTCTCAGCATCTCTGCCGAAGCGGGGCATTATCACACCATGCAGCGCCAGCAAGACTTTGAAGGCTTGCACAACGTCTGATGTAGAGATGCCTTGACCTGAGCATCTTGCGGCATCGAAGATTCCCATCAACCCTCTGTGAATTCTATGAATGTGGATTCCAGAGTCGGCCTAGTTGCAACTAAGCGCATGTTGTTCGTCAGCAGACCACATTTGCGGGATGAAATCGATCTGGCTGTCCGTGTAACTCATAAAGCCGTCGCACCTGACCTCGGCTGTGCACGCGAATCTGGCAGAAGGCCGCGGCACTTCGGGTGGACTTGCGAGCCGAAGAGGCCAGTCACTCGAGACAGGGGAGGAAAACCCAAAATCATCACCAATACAACTCAACTCTGGGCCACTCACTCCCTTCACTTGAAGTGAAACCTCATGCAGTCCAGGAGTCTGGCACGGTGAGAATGGCATTCCTTGGCAAAAGCGACAGCATGGTCAGCATGGTGGCTGCTTACAGCGGTCACTATCTTTTTCCTGATGTACTTCAGCCGCCTCAACCGGAAGCTCAAGCTGCTGAACTGCCTCTGGCTAACTCCAGGGCGAGCATCTTGTGAGCCGTCGCAACTTCGCCCGCACACCACATGCGTTTCGGCAGCTCCTTTTCGCAGATTGATCGCGTTTTCAGGAATCGGGGCAGGGCTGACCCACATCACAAAGTTTGTCGAATCCCAACGGAGGCCCGAGCGTCGAAGATCTCTGGTCAGTTTCTGGCAGTATTAGGACATCTGGTCTTCCATGTAAGCAAGATCTCCGTGCTGCCAGGGTCGGAAGGCCAATGGAAACACGCGAGCCTCTTAAGCAAATGCCTGTTTTGCGAACCACAATGCAGTTGACGGTCTTCACCCTGCTCGGGAAATCATTAGATTCAGTCATTCATTAAGTGTTGGGAGCCAGGTCAGTTCACGCTTTTAGGCTGCATCGCTATGTGGCTGACTACAGCGCGGAGTAGGAATGGCTCGGCCAGGTGAAGCAGTGGGTCGGGGCTTCTCGGATCATCGGGTGCCAATCAAACTTCGATGCAGACGAGCCCCCGAAGGAATAAAAAACGTTATAGTCTTGGGCGCTATACGGCGACATCATTGGCAACTGCAGGCCACTGCTACGCAAGTGCCAGGAATGACGCACCAGTGCGCCGCTCGCCTGAACAGTTCTTTTCGAAGTAAGTACAACTTCGGAATGCACGCAAGCCTGAGAGCTAAATGACAGCTCAAAATCACCCCTGCAAGAGGCCAGTGTACCGCAAACAGACACTTCAGGCCTGCTGGAGCCTGGGCTGGCTATCCATGATGCTGTGTGTGTGAGAGACGTTGCGAAAACATACCCGCCATAATTACCTCGAGTACCGGGCCCTGGCGACCTGCTGAAGCATGGATATTCCTAAACCGTGTGAGCTTGAACGCACTGCCCGCTCTCCTGAGTCAAAATGACAACGAAGTTCTTGGTCTGCTCCCGCACGATGTCAAAAAGGCCTTATGGTCGCCACGACATGTATCTGTGGAAGCCCACCACATGAAAAGAAGGCAGTGCAGGGGGAGAACCATCCAGGCTCTCCAAGCAATCGGCATCCAAGAACACGCTGCAGCCTGTCAGCGTTGTAAGCCTTGGCTTCTGGAGGTGTTCAGCAACGGTTCGGACATATTATTCAAAGAGAGGACGTGGGTGCAGGCACTAACGCAGTCAAATCTCTGGATTTTGATATAACGGGCCAACGCTCCCGCACCACCTGCAAGAAGCAGTCTTGGAGCAGAGGCTGCTTTCACGCTAGCCTGCGTGTGCAGTAGGCTCGACTAGGCATGTAGCAGATATGGCCTTTGTGGTGACAAAGGAAGACGTCATAGCGGGCTGCCTTCTGCAAAGAGCGCCAGCCCATCCAAATCCTCATGGCATGAGAGCTGTAAGGATCGGGCATCACAGACGTTGCAGAGGCAAACGGACTTTCCCACTCTGCGGCAGCAGAAGATTCGTGCATCCCTGAAGCTCTACTGGCTGTAAGCAGAGCACGTCACGAGGACGCCGACAACCAGTGGAGCCAGGACGGGCACACCTCGATGCCGTGCTCTCAAGCGGCACAGCTAGGAGTACTCCTTGAGAGACTGGCAAAACCCCACCCGAAGTCGCCCCGGTCCTATGAGCAAAAAGACAATGCAAGCAAACGTTTAGCTACTACCAGCAAACTTGAGAGCTGGTCACGAAAGCTAGAAGCACGAGGTCCGGTGCTGAGCTCTGCAAAGCGATGTGCACGACAGTAGCGGAGGGAAAGTTTGGGCCGGTGAAGGGTGCACGCGTTGCTCGTTCATTTAACTCTTGAGAAAGTAATGTGCGAACGACAACTAGAGGTAACTCTGGAGAGAAGACCGCACTTCAGTCGCCGAACGTCAGACACAAACAAAACCAAGGGACCTTGAGGAGGGGGGGGGGGAGGGGGGACCTCATGATGGGGGGGGGCCCCCCCCCCCCACCTTATCCCAGGCACAACCACCTTAAAGGAGGGGGGGGAGGGCACCTTATCAGTGGAAAACGCATAATGACAAGGTGAAGGGGGGGGCCCCCCCCCCCTACCCCCCACCTTAACTCTTGGACGTCCCACCTGATAAGGTGCAAACCCTGTTTTTTCCCTAGTGCCTTAATACAAGTGAATTGCTAAAGGGCAACTCCCGCGAGCTCCACAGAGCTAGCTTTCGTGATAACTGGACTGGCTTTATGTCAATGGATGACTCCGGACGAGGAAAACCAGAGAAGGCCAAGTGGCAAAGCAGCGTCCCCAGTAGAGTTGCTGCTGCTGCCTCATCGATTTCCTCAGTTGGATTTGGCATGTTCATTCAGAAATCATATCTTTGCTTCCAGCCTGCAAAGCCTCTGCTGGGAACCAAATGAAGGCTTACAGCAAACCGTGAAGATCTCAACTCGCCAACCTGTCGCTGCAAACGAAGCTGGCTGTCTGAATAGTTGCTGTCGAAGATGACCGAAATCTTGCTCTCGGACAAAACGTTGCTACGAGTACCAGAATCGTGACACTTCCCTTGTCGAGTTTCTGGGCTGACAGCATACGGACCCCATGGGAGTAAGCACTGAACTGCCTCATTACGACGTATCCTCCTCTGAAGTACACTGCGGCAGTTTCGAGGAATTGGGAAAACGCCTTTGTTGTGATACAGGCCCTTCCTGGAGGATCTCGAAGCGCAGTGCAGGTGACCGTCCGAATAGACAGGCGTAATCAAGCCGGGCTTCCAGAAGTGGTGACACACCAAGCAGAACGATGACGACAAACCTTGCTGCATCTTGAGATGGGCTCTTCTCGCTCCGTTAAGTCGCAGTGGGTCCCAGGAGACACAAACTGATCAATGCGCAGGTCGGGAGTTCTAGTTCTGGTGGTGTTCCTGAACTTCTGAGATTAACTGTCAATCTTCGCCTCGCCAGGTCAATTGTTGCCAAGCTGCTGCATCATGAGAAGATCAGCAACATTCGATTCGCGTGTGCCTTGAGGTCAGTGGTTTTCGGCTCATATTTCCATTCGCAGCACAGCACTGCACGCTTCACCCATAAAGTGGAAGTCAGCATGCAAATCATGGACTCTGCTTCTTTGGGCCATGAGTTACCCCTTGTCCGCAGCTCAAAGGACCTTGTAACCTTCGCCCTGACATGGACACAAGGTGCAACTGAGAGACGCCAAGCCCATAGCCGCGTCTGCAGAGCCAGGCTCGCCAGCAGCATGGTCCCGACCTCAGTGTAAGGAAGAGGGTGACTATACCATACTATACTGTACTATATTATATATCATGGACTGTAATATACTATACTTACTATACTGTACTATCATGTACTTTACGAAGCGACTCTTTGGCGTTGCCCTGGCTGTCTCAGATCTGATCGAAAGCTGCCTCAAGCCGAGCCGCAGCCACAATTTGCAATGCTGGGACTGGGACCTCGGACATCGCACCCAGAAGAAGCATTGCAATCCGGATACTCAATATTGAGGCTCGTAGAGCGCTCGCGGTTTTGAAGGTCAGGGCTTTGATGCAAGCATTTCGGGGTTTAGGGCTACCTTGTCCTTTCAAAACAGGGCCTACATCTTGATAAATAAAGTCGATTCACCAAGCAGCTCAAGCTTACAAACATAGGCTCTTGTTGAATCGTCCAAGCATCGAGGACAATCGGGGCGAGGGCCAGCAAGAAATTGCGCAAGAGAAGAAACAATCCAAAAAAATAGCCTTGGATGGATTGGCACTCTTCCCCGTGTGAAGGCATGCAAATTCAGCCTTTCGCGCGCCGGCGGCAATTTTCAATACAGCAAAGGAGGCAACATGCTCTAGAGGCTAGCGGGCAGGACAATTTCTGCCTGGCCCTGTCCCACCGAGAACAGCAACACACACCAAACGACAAAGCTTTTTGGATGGTTTGGGGGCCTGCATGCATCCAAAAATCACTGAGGAGTGAAGCGTTGGAAGAAGAAGCGATAGCGGTACAGCGTCGCGATGCCTTTTCCTGCATTTGCAAACACGGACGTGCCACAACTGGCGAGGCTTCTACGACGGAGTCGATGTCAGTGTTGCCAGCCCCCGAATCTCGAGTAAGGACTCAGGATCGATTTCATAGGGAATCTCATGCTTGCTCCAGCTTGCTCTCGCCTTCGGCAACTGAACGAAATCGCAGGTGAACTTAACAAGAACATAGGCAGTTCAGTCTCCCGCCGGTCTCCTGTGGCAGCTCGAGATGGGTATAAGTACGTCGCCCATGTAGCCCAGGCAATGATGCTCACGGGGTAAAGTATGATTCCTTGGCTCTTGAAGAGACACTGCCACAACGCCCTCCTTATGCTTGAGGCCGCAGGCGGGCACAGTGACTCGATTCAAAGCCTAATGTTCAACTGTCGCCCAGCGACCAACACCAGCGACCGCCACAAGCACAAAGTGGTCCTCCGATTGGTAGCACAGAACCTGAAGAAAAGCTTCCTGTAGGAAGCTGAAGGTCGGCAAACTGGCCCTGCTCAGTAGCAGAGTCGCAGTTCATAACTCAATCAGAGCCAGAGTAGCCCCTGGATTGTTGGCCATTGAGCTGGTCCCGTTGGGGTTCGAGATGCATTGAAAGGGCCTCAGATACGCTCGTAGCAGAGATGGCCAGGGATTGCGAAAGCTGTCTCTGTGGTGAGGCGCAAATGCTTGACTTGACGGCCGATCGTTGTCTAACTGTAGTCAGCCTTACCACTGCAAGCTAGTCAGTCGGATAAGAAACAACAGCATCAGGCCGGAAGTTGGGTCGCTCCGTCAGTTGTTGCCAGATATAGGCTCTTCACATCTCTTCACCAACACCTCTTGCAGCGAGCTCTGGTCCGATTTTCGCACTGTTCCGCACAACGAGTTCAGAACAAGGACAGTACGAGTACCAACAACTCGCGTCTTGCACTCGGAAGCGCCTTCAACGAACGGGCCCCGCATCAGGGGCAGCAGCAAAAGCAGGGCCATGCGGACAAGCATCAACAGTGTTGCCAGCGCCAGACTGAGGAAGAAAGCGAAGAGGATGAAACCGAGAACCTGAAGGCATGAAGCGACCAGCGGCTCAACGGACATGCCATGACACGCTGCAAGGATCGGCAAGGAGGGACAAAGATAAAAACGGTGCATTCCCTCTGTCCCGCACTTGCACCTTGGTTCCATGCCAAAACAGGCTCTGGGGACATGGCGTTGATGAGGTGGTCCAATCGTTGATTCGGCTTCAAGTATTTCCTTGGCGGAAGTGAGACTGTGACTCCGGGCTACAGGGAATGTGTCGCCCGTCAGGTGTGGTCGGCCCACGTAGCACTGCCGTGCTACCGCCTAGTAGTAACATAATAATTCAATAATGTTAAGAGAGCGTCCATTGCGTGTTGCTCCAACTGCACCCGAGCATCTGAATCAGCCAAACGCAGCCCAATCCAAGAGCCAGCACAGGAAAAGCCAGCAGCTGCCCCAAAAGCTTCACCTGCTCCCAGCACAGAGTACCGTCCATGGGAGTGAGTTGGGCGTGGTCGCGATCTCAAGACACAGAGTTCATCATGGTGCGCACTGTCGGCCTTGCACATTCACGTAGTAGGTACGACGATGACGAACATATGGCATGGGCGCTGCCACAGCAGCTGCCCTTTAGCTGCTGCCAGTCTTACGCAGCAACTGTACTTGTCGCTGCTGCTGCCGATACTGCTGCTGCTGCTGCCAGCACGATGACGAGAACAAACACCATTGCAAGTACAATGAAGCGACGTCGTTGGCACGGAGAGGACTTCTTCGTTGTCTCCCTTTGTCAGTCCAAGGGGAGCAATTTCACAATATCCCTCCTGCTCAACTGGTCAGCAGTTTTGGGCATCGGTGCTCAAGCTTTGGATTTTGGGCTTGCTCAATCAAGTTCTGCTACCCGAGATCCTTGACGAAAGCTCATACCGAGAATGTCCAGTTTCGCGCATACTCTCGTTGCGTTCAAGTTTCTAGTCAACAGTCTAGCTCTTTGATCTCAAGCACCAGCTACTTCCCACGCACTGCACCGGTGCACCATCGGCTGACCCTCTACAAAATGGCTGAGCATACTCGACGGCTGAGGCAAGGTCAGCCCGACTTCCACAGAAGTACTGTAAGTGCTGCGCCGAGCCACCACAGGATGGTCATGTTGACTCACACACGCAATCTTCACAAAGTCTAAGTTGATCATCCTCAGTGGTGGATAGACACTCACTCTTTCAGAGGCCGGACTGCTGCGCGAACCCGGGGATCCCTGTGACATGAGTGCAGCCGAGTCTCATGATCAGGTCCGCGAACTCAATGAGTGTTTTTACCGGCTCTGGCCATGCAATTGCGAGCTTTGAAATAGTTGAGAAAGTCTGAATGACCATGACCAGCTGGTTGCCCACAGCCAGGACGGTTAGCTTGCTCAAGCTGGATTGGCTGATGCCAACGCTCATCACCCGTAAAATGATCGCGGCCCCGCACCACATGACAATCACTGCAACATAAAAGCCTAAAGTGTCGTAATCCTCGCAGGCCTTGCAATCTCCGTTCCCTGTGGGATAATACTTTGGCAGGCAGTTGTTGCAAGCCAAGTTGGTTCGCCCCGGTGCACAGATCTCAGGCTGTCCTTCAGGGCATTCCTCTGCATTACCTCGGCCGGTCCAGCCAGACAGACTTCTGCAGCATACGATAACAGGTAGCAGTATTTGTGGCCAGCGCAGTGTTATTTGCAACCAAGCTTTCCGGCCACAGTCCAGACTCTTCAGGTTCCAACACAGCTGAACAATGGAATCAACTCCGTTTTCGGAGATGGGTGTTTCAACTTACCTTTTGGTGAGTAGGGAATGGAAGAATGGTAGTAATACTGGTTATAATCATACCCCATTCCTCCATTCCCTACTAACCCAAGGTGTTTCCAGTAAGAGTCCAGGCTGCGGCATTGGAACACGGAGTAAAGCCCACGGTGTGCATCTTCAACCTCTGCCCAGTAGCCCGCCTGCCAACATTTCGCGCTTCTTGTGTGTTGAAATTTAAACTTGCATGCCACTGTTGGGAAAGTGCCAGAGGCTGAACTGACATCATGACAATAGTAGGTTGTTCGCGAATTTTAGGTTCAGCGGTGGTCCTTCTGGAGCGGAGGCGCCAATCCAGCGGCACATAGCCTCGGCAAATGGCGTGGATCTGCGCAGACAAGGTTGTTTTACATACTGACTTGCCACCTCACTCATCTCACTCTTGCCCAGGCTTCCCGGTGAATATCGTCGAAGCTGATTTTTAGACCAAGCAGCATTCCAGCAGGGCATGGTGTGCAGCCCTTGCCGTGTACCATAAACCTTGTGGGCAACCAGCTTTGGAATTTGGCAGGCCATACAGCCATGCTTCTTGCATAGGCCGCAGACCCCCGATAAGGTTGCTATATCCCAGGATTTAGCAGGGACTTGGTCCAGGCACGGGCAGAGCGGCTCTACTCTTGAGATTTTACTGGACATTGAGGGATCGGAGGTCCTGCATTTCAGACTAGCGCACGCCTTGTTTCTGGGGGTTCGTGGGCTCGCGGGCTGCTTCTGGTCTACTCCGGGGACTTCCTGAACATCGAACCTTGTGCCACCACGTGGCGAGTCGTCGGAGCACAGGCAGGACGATGCTGAGTCTGATCCCGTTTCCAAGGTGATCATGCCCAAGACACACTCCGTACAGTTCGCGGAGGCAGTCCTGACCCGTAATAACACAGAATGCGCAGCACGCCGCTTCAACTTCAATTCCCTGATTAGACGTGAATGTGGAGTCTAAGTCCATTCTTGAAGTATGACCGGTCAAGGCAGCTAGATTACGAATTGCGCCCGCGCCATACCCGGTGTGGCCACCTGTTTAGTCCCGACCGGAATATAGTCCGAGCAACTGCTGCGTGTAGGTACCCAGAGGACAGCGCAAGCAACTGGAACCTCCTTCCTGGTTCTGGTGATATCCTCAGACACGCGGCTCGCCAGCGCAACGGCTGCTGCATGACGGCTTGGCAAGACTACCATACAAGAGCTCCAACCTGCTTGCAGAGTTCAGAAGAGAATGAATGCAGCGTCTCTGCTCCAATACTTTGCAACGGGGACCTACTCTCGAGCAATGCACCAGGCTTCCCGTGTCTTGTTCATGCCACGCTGCCACGTGGGCACGGAGCGGGAATGCTTGTTCCTGCCGGGCACCCATGACCTCGCATGCTGTTGGGTTTCGCAGGCGCAGAACATAATCAGACCTGGTCCATGTAGCAAACAAGGGTGCCTGCAGGACAAGCGAGACAGTCAGCAGTGCCCGCTTCCTGGTTGAAGCGACCGGCTGGGCAAGCCTCTGCACGAGCGGTATCGGGTGGCTCAAAACATTCCACAACCTGCTGCTTGAGGCCCCGACTGTGCAGCTCAACGCGCCGGGAATAGCGAAACTTCCCGCTGGACAGGCTTGGCACTCGCGAGTGGCCTGCTGTCCACCGGAGGAAATCCACCCGGAAGGGCACGTCACGGCGCTGGGCCCCATGCGGAGGTGCACTTCTAAAGGCACGACGTTCTTCAATGAAATGATGGAGAGAGGTAGGCGGACTTTGAATTTGCAAATGGAGTTCCAAATCGTCCCAACCGTCGCCAGCACCTTGACCGACTGAATTGCAGCCAGGCCTTGAGTAATACGATGCTGCAGAACTCCGTCAAGCAGGCACGTGGAGCCAGGTAAGATGACCATCTCAAGCTGCAATGTGTCGTCTATGGTGACCTGGTTGAAGCTGTCGAGAAGCATTGCTCCGAAGGACAAACTCATCCCGGGAAAGCCCTCCATCGTGAGAAGGCTCTGACGTCCACAGACTTCTTGACGACAGGAAGCGACGATGGCGACCGGTGACGTGGCTTGCAGGTTGCCAAGGGCCGCGGAGTTGCCGGAGACAGCAGCACCAAAGTCGGTCCAGTGCCAAGCAGATGGAACGGATGGGTTCCACCTGCTGTCATCATCTTCCAAGACCGGGATGGCGCACGATGGGTAGGCGCTGCTGAAGAAAGCGACGGCGCCAGTTGTTGCAGAGTTACCCTTGAAAGTAACATCTTTGAAGATTGGGTCTGAACCACATCGAAGATTTGCTCCAACTTGAAGGGCGCCACCCTTGCCCGAAAGGACACTGTTGTTGGACATACTGCCGCCTGTCACATCCAACGAAGTGCACTCAAACGATACGCCTCCTCCACTTCCGTAGGCTTCGTTGCTACGAATCTCCACGTTGTTGAGCACGAGGGCCGCCGGCATGTTTGCCAGCTCGGCGCAGTATATCCCACCACCTCCAAGTCACCAAACCCCATCACTATACGATTATAGCTATTTCGGAGGAGCTTTTCTGGTTGAAACACGTCTATGTTACGGTATGCTCGTGTCAGGAACACTCGGCAAAGTGGGATGAATGCCCGTTGGGCTGCGTGTTGCACAGCGGCATAGCTAGTCTGCCTGTTGCCTTCAGTCTTTCACCGATACATAACGATACATATCAATGCCGAGTCAAGCAAACGTTCCGAACCGTTCGGTCCGCATTTACAAGGGTGGCTGCAGAAGCCACAAGCTCAAGAAAACTCAGCGACGGATGCAGACCTCCTTCTTGCGCACGTACGCTCCGTTGTTCAGTTTGCATGCGGAAGCTCTGTGTAGGCATGTTTCGGCCTTCCGACACGAAGCTATTCGCAGTTTTTGAGTCACGGTCTTGGGCCGGCATGCTTGAAGAAGCATCGCGTTGAGGAGTGAAACTGAAAGAAGGAAACTGAAAGAGGGATGGCGCAGTGCACGACTCAGATTTCAAGCATGCAACACCTAGTTCTGTCATCAGGGACAACCTCGTACTGAACCACAAAGATCACTACGTCCAATCTCATCAGTAACATACGCAGGAATGCCCGTGTATGCCCGGTAAATACGCTTCAATAATCCAACAAGCCATCGGCAGTCAATGCTAATTCTGTGTCGCCGAAGCCACGTCGCGAAAAATCAGGATTCGTCCACTTGTTAAGTCGCTGCCAGCAGGAAACGAGGCAGACGAGACAGCAAAAGATTCCGTGTTGTCTCACTGTCAAAAAGCACTGCGAATTCAGGAGAGAACTAGAGGGTTAGCGAAAGCAGCCAGCTGGCAAAATCGGGTCCCTTGCAGTGGAACGCTACGCAGGCCCGACAACGCGCAAACAGAGCTAGCAGTGCAGGCACCGCATCTCTCGCTGCCGCTTGGCACGTTCAGGGATCGCGGGTGGAAGGCGGGTACACCCCATAAGCAAAACTTCTAACAAGGCGTTGCCTGCCTTGCCCGTTTGCAAGATTGCCTTCGATAGTGGAACTGTTGATCCTCAGCTTGCACATTCTACAACTCTGTTCATGGTTGGCGACAGGGATTGTTGCCCCCGTGCGAAGTCGCAGGAGTCACAGTTGTCAACAGTTGTCCAATGCATAGTTACTTGCATTACAAGAATCTCAATTCGTGCAGGACCATTCGCAAATATGGCCAGCGCACCGCCATTGCCTTGCGCAGCATTATTCCGGAAGACTGCGTTGCGGACCTCGGGATGTCACAACTTAAGTCGTCTTAAGTTTGTAGCTAGCAACTCTTCCCCATGTCCTGAGGCATCTTGGCACGACCCCATGCGCATGTCTCCACTACATGAAACGCGACTTGGGTCTTCGTGCCTCATGCTTCCATGTGCCATATGGTTCCCATAGCTACGTCTTCAAGTCTGCGCTTTCACCAAGCAACGGTAACGTCGGCAGGAGCACTCACTTCAAGGGCTCCTCCAAAGTCAGTCGCCACATTGCTTTCGAAGATCACATCTTCCATGTGAAGTCGATTGACAGCATCAGGCTCGCTCGAGGGCTTCAGGACGACGGCATGCCTGGCTGCTTCGGCAGCCATATTGAATTTTGAATCAACCTACTCCCGCTTTTGTTCTTCCAGCTCTGCAACGGGGTTCAGCTACGGCTCTGACTGCGACACAGCTGGTCTCCAAAAAGATCTTGTCAGATCTTGTCTTATGTCTCCTCTTCCCATATCTACACACCGATCGTAACAGCATTCCCTTCTTCGGCTAAGACAACTGCTCGTTGAGTCTTGTTGAGTAGTAGTCGTCGCCATAGTAGTCGCGGTAACGGTCGTGGCAGCAGTAAGTAGCAGCCGCAGCAGTAGTTGTAGCGCTGGTAGTACTCGTCATCGTCGTCTTACTGGTGGTGGTAGTTGTGGTTAGTGGTGGTAGTAGTCGTAGTCGTAGTAGTCGTAGTAGTAGTAGTAGTAGTAGTAGTAGCAGTAGCAGTAGCAGTGGCAGCAGCAGCAGCAGGAGCAGGGGCTTCGTGGATCTGGAACCATGGCACAGTTAGCTTGTCCATCTGGGCTGGCTACATACTGGGAAAACGTCAGTGACGAGTGACGAGACTTCGGTACATCATTGCTACTTCAGCAGTTCTTTATTAGAGCAAACAACGTCTGAACAAAACACGACCCAAAGTGAAAGACCTCATGGTGGTAGTAGTAGTAGTAGTAGCAGCAGCAGCAGCAAATAATAGAAGTACAGGCAGCTCTGGGGGGCATGAAGAAGCTTCTAGTGAAGCGGGATCGCAAAGCTGCTACTTGTACCTGTACATACTTTTCAGCCACATTTGAGCCTGAAACGAAGGACGAGGTGCCCGTTGTTGCGAAACACGACGCGCCGGAAAATCGACGGGGCATTCGTGGCGGCTGCAGCCTTGGCAGTCAGTAGACACACGCAGCCGTGCACCTCCCAGCTACAGACTACGCCCTGCCCAAATCGTAGACGGCTACCGGCACCGAATGTCTAAGCTACCCATAGACAACTTCGGAATCCGACCCACTGTCCCAATTAGCTCTCGCATCTTAAGTGTTGGAATGGAGGCCGGAGCAACGGTGCCAAGGTCTCTGGACACCAATCGGGCACTCACTTTTGGTAAGCTCCTCCCTGTAATAGTTTACGTCAGTAGCTCCGAAAAGCTGGACCAAAACAAGACTTCAGAGGCTCAAACTTCATTCAGGTCTCTGTTATGCCAACAGTGCCCCCAGGCTCGGCTGGTCCATTGCCTTCGAAGAGACAGTCCTGGCAAAGAGAAAACCACAACATCGCACCGTTTCCTGCACAAACTTCCAAGTTGTTCGCTGGTTCAAAGTCTCTCCAGGTGAATCATCACGTTCATCCGGGTTAAGCCGTGCTGTAAACTCGTCAAAGTTTATCTACGAGACTCCCAATGCCCAGCCCTCGACTGTACTTACATAGCTTCATGGCCTCCAGCAGCAAACCACCGGCAGCCGCCTTCCAAGTGCACGTTTTCTCAGATCTCGCCGGTCTGGTACTGATCTCATGATTACGTGGCGAAGATACGTTTTGACCATTTGAAGAGCAACAAAACAAGTTATCGTTCCCTCCATTCCACTCTAATATTACCAGAAGTTCGCTTGCGCAAATCTGCCTGTATGGCACCGTCTGCACCGTTGCTCGGGACGTGGTTGTCGATGAAACGTGAGTTCTTGAAGAGAATGCCGGAAGGGACGAAGGAGCGCACACCAGCTACGTCCACGTTCGCGGTGTTGTTCACGACCGTAATCTGCGGCGAGAAACAAATGGGAGAGGCAGAACAGCAGACAGAGATTCAAGGTGCTACTATAAACAGGGCACCACAGGCTCAACCTCATCCTTATCAGCGAAAGCCGGCTAGACAGTCCGGTAGCAAAAAGAAAGATACATGCAGCCACATCTTCATGCAAGCGACATTGGTGAAGCTCGGGCTGACAGTCGCCGTGAGGTATATCGCTCCAGAAGAGGAGGCCTGATCTGAGCGCGATGTGAATGACATGTGAATAACTTCCAGATTCCAGCTCCTGCCCAGGTCCGAATTGGAGCTGCATGGGCGCTCCGACATCTAAGCCGAGACGCATGGCCGTTCTGAAAGATGACATTCCGGAACCTAGTCGCTGACATGCCTTGGATGCACCCACAATGTTAGCGGGTGCAGGAGTGCTTAGAATACTGCTCCCTGCCCGCTGCTTGCGACTTCGACCCACTTCAAAACAAACACAATATTTCGTTTTTAAGACAAGCGACCATAGCCATAGTAGGCAGAGCCGTGCAGCGCTGTTGCCTGGTCGAAGACACAGTCCGCAAAGAGCGGGCTGGCCTGACCTCCGTCATCCAGCACGCCCCCATAGGGCGAATAGCAACGAGAGAACCGGCAGCGATGGAACTCGGTAAGGGAATTCTCCTCCGTCAGTAGAGCTCCACCCCAGCGCAGTCCCTGCAGCCGCTCGAAGATGGAGTCCTCAATTCTTGAGACATCGGCTCCCCACGTCGCGATGCCGGCACCATGGTTCCCCACAGAATCCTCATCGAAACACGGGGAGGCGTAGACAAACGCAGACACTCACTCAAGCACTTGCTGCTCATAGACAAGGATCTGTAATTCGCAGCCTTTGCACCAAGGCGATCGAATCCACGAGGTACAGGCCACCGCCGTTAAACTCTCGAGCAAGAGTTTCCTCGAAGCTACAGTCCATGTCCCCTTACGTGCAGGCAGCGAAGACGGAGGATGCAACATGAGGCAACGAAAAAACAAGCCGACAGGCCTGGTCCAGTTGACAAGCGGAATCCTAAACTCTGCATCCAGGCAGCGTAGGTGGATGTCGCGCAGCTTGGCGGGAGATTGCACAAGCTTGAATCCAGCGCCATTGCCTGAGAGCTTGAAGGCTGTCGGCCTTTAGGCCGAGGCCGGCAGCTTTCCCTGAAACCCGTGTCAGAGAGCTCGCCGACAGGCCAGCATTGTGACGAGTCGCGATCGCCGGAAAGAGCCGAACAGTATCCATTGCGGACCGTCAGCTTCTGAATCACCACCTCTCCAGCAGCTGCATCCAGGTACCTGTGCTCAGAGCACACGCAAAGCGTCCGTTGTTCATATAAACGACCGCCAAACAGCACAGCTCCCACGCAGCTCTGGGCACATGAAGCGGCCAGCTCTCTCCACATCAAAGATGGTCCTCGGAAAAACAGTCGCCCTTCCACGCTTAGCCGGCTGCTTCAGGCTGCTGCAGGCTTTGCGGCTTCAACCTGTTTAAACTTTTTCCCTGTCGCATTGCTGTTTAAACTGGCTTTCGGCGCTCACACTCGGACAATCGAGGCGAGGGGTTTGGGGCTCAGTGTCGAAGAGCTTTGGTGATGATCTGCGGCAAGAAGTACGTCGTGAGTCAGGTTGCGCTGTCTGAACCCTGCGTCCATTAGTTACTCATACATGTAGGAACATTGAACTTTGAACTGTTCCTTGCTCTTGCCGAAGTGGCCCAAACAAATGTTGACAAATAAATCTGTGACTTGCAAGGCATAGGTTCTCGAAGGCTTGAGCCACTATCTGATAAACTATGTCAGCACAATGCCATAGACATTCTTGCATCATTCTGTGGTTCCCTTTCTACGCGTGTTGCCGACTTATCTGCTTCTTGTCTGAGAACGGTTCAGGGTGCCTCCCGCAAGAAACGTAGCTGCAGCCTGGGCTCAAATCCGTGTCGTAGCCTTCAATCGAGAAGTTGGCTTTGCCGAGGTCGCCGGGGCTGAGGTTGCCTTCCACTGAAGGTTTCGGTATCTTTTCGGCACTCGTGCAGGTTTGGGACGTTTATTTAGTGGCTGCCTCAGGACTAAGAACCTGACAGCGGAGACGGCCGCGGTAGCTGTCCAGCATCGCACGTGCGCACAGACAGAGGCAGACACGCACACACACACACACACAAGCACATCATAACCCGAACCGGGCTGCGGTTCGAAGAACCCGCAAATGTTCCGACGCCGACTTTGATGCGATCTCCTTGCCAAGAATCGTGCACTTGCAACACCCTCGGCGACGTGAACCATGATATGACCGCACAGAGGCTTTCTATCTATCTGCGAAAGGGGGATGCGATCCAGATGCACGTGAAGAGATACAGATCCCTGGCACAAGGTCCTGAAGAGAGCTGTCGGATGGCATAGTCTAGGGTTCTACACGGCGTCGTGCAGTCGCCCGTGTCAGTTCCCGTTATCTCCACTGACAAATCACGGGCTGCCGCCAAGATAAACCAAAAACATCCTAGGAGAACAGGGTTGACGTCGAGTGTTGCGACCTTCGGCCGCATTACTCGTCCGGGCTGGATCTCGAGCCCGAAAGCGTCTGCGGGACGTGCATAAGTTCGCGCGCAGGGATTAAATGACCATGCAATGTGATGGATAGTGCCAAGTTTCAGCTTGCGGCGTCAGGGGTTTTTTGCAGGTTTTTCCAAATTGTCAGGGTTAGGGGGGGTAGCGGGGGGGGGGGGGGGGGGGGCTTCATCACGCTGGGTCGATCCCTGCTGTTGTAGATGCGAACCTGTTCGACTCTTATCAGTTCTACTACTGCTGACGCCTGCTACCCTTTAGTGCTTCATGTTCACACTGACTCTACTACTGCTGCGGCCTGCTGCCCTTTCGGCTGTTGGACTCTTACTGGTTGGGTTGGGGGTGGTGGGGGGGATGGGGGGGGGGCATAATAACGTCTCTGGGCTTGCATCCTGTCACAACTTGTCTTTCGGTTCTGTAAACACTCTGGCCGTAACAACGGTCCCGACCTGTGGTCTGCCCTAGGAGCTTTGGCACAGAAAGCGAGCAAAGCGCAGAAAACAAGTCTCCAAGAGTTGCGTCAAAGCCCTGAAGCTCGTAACAATAACCACAGACTTCTGTGAAGCCTTCAAGCTCAAAACAAGAAGAAGAACAACAACAAGAACAAGAACGACCACCACCACCTCCACCACCACCACCAGCAACACCACCACAACCACCACAACAAGAACAGGAAAACAGACAAAAAAGAAGCCTGAACAAGTGTTCAAATGAAGGTGCTCGAACAGTGTGTTGCGAAAATGACACGCCAGCCAGTGTTTTCTACACATCGGTCTTCAAAATACCGGAACAAAAAACGACACTTTTGACTAGCGGCCCTGGACACTTCCTAAAACAGATGCGCGAAAATGCCGAAAAAAAGCAACATTTCCCTAAACACTGTGCAAACCCTCAATGCGCTGTCGCCGCGCGGTCGCGGTTGACGCCGCAACCTTTCATCAGCATGCTTGTGCTCTCGATTGCTCTCGGAGAACCCGTAGGAGCCCGCCAATTCAATTGAAGGCTCTGCATACTCTACGGTCATCTATTATACGTTCTATAAGTCATGGTATTGGCCTCGGCCGCAGCAACAGCCACCTTCTCCGTCTGAGCCTGGGGGAGAGACTTTGTTTAGCTTCTACTTGCAGTGATGCAGTAAGGTCGAGGACTCCCTCCTCCTCCTCCTCCTCCTCCTCTTGACGCTGGCAAGCTGAACAATCAAGCATCATGCCGCAACAGCCTCCAGAATTCGCTCGATGCGTACATTGAGGATGGCCTGAAGCTCGGCAATTGAAGGCACCGTGTTGTGGAACATGATCAGCTGCTGTTTGCGGCTGCTGCTCACTGACTTCGACCATCCGCAGAATCATGCACCGAGCGTTGGACCAAGTCTTGTCGGTAGCCCTCCGAGCTCCGCAAGTTGTTTGCGCCTGAATTTGATGTTGCACGGGATTGGGTTCAGATCTCGGCAACGAGTCCAGAAAGCTTTGCCATGCAGTGCTTCATCTCCGTTCGACTTGTTGCTGGAGTTATCAGGTATTAGATTTTACTGCTGAGTGCGACATTTCCCTACAGTCGAAATTCGAAACATCACTTGCATGTACTGCAGATGTTCGACACCAATGGTGCCGTCAATTTCGAGCAACTGTCTGCGAGTAGGCTTTTCCAGAACTCAAACCTTGAATCAGGCCTTCCTGCTCACGCAGCAGCGGCGGCGACTCGCTCATTTTGTTTCCACGATGCTTTGCCATTTGCCCTGGCTTCACTGGTGACATCTTGTGAAGATAAAGGGGCGTAGACACCAAACGGGACAAGTCTGTGGATGCACTGCAAGATATGGCCTGGAACTCCGATAAACGAATCAAAGTCGTGTACCGAAACTACACATTCAAACACTGACGGCAGAATCTGCAAAAAAGTCCTGGATCCCTTGTAAATGCAGGAAGACTCAGTGGATCTCAATTCATGCAAGATGGCAACCCTGCCCCGTAGGCTTCAGGCTTCGGACCTACAGTTCCCAGCCTAGGCTGCGCTGCCAGGGGCCGCTTCACCGAGTATTGGTGCAACGAGCCGACAAGCGCTTGAGAGCTCGCAGCTCGCCCTCAAGTCAAGAGAGCAAAAAACACGTTCTCTCGTGTTGGCCTGCAAAAAAAGACTGCGCCTTTCCTCGATGTGGAATTGTACTCCGTACTTGTACGGTGCGCCCGTCGACCCTCCTAAAGCTCGAAACAAAGCAGGATAAGGTTTTGTCTCCATCTGTTGAGAATCTATCGGTACACCGCATCTCGCGCTTGCCTCCTACCTGAGCCGATCGGGCGAAGTGCAAGGCTCAAACCGAGCTTGAACTGAACAACCTGCACAAGGCAGGGCCCTGTGACAGTGGATGCCCTCAGGAATGGCACCCAAGAGCCGAGAACAACACACCAACGAGCCTACAGGCTTTGATTAGAGGCTCTCCCCCCGAAGCTGACAGGCTGACAGGCTGACAGGTAAGGCTTGCTCTTGAAATGCTTGGTGCTCGTCATCCTGGTGCACCCGAAAACCAATTCGCTTTGGTCGGTCTTTGGCTCCCTTATGTGGGTGATTGTCAAAATTATGGTCCCTTTTTGGACCCCTAACATCATACGGCACCTACTATTTAGGGTCCCCAAAGAGGGGCCCTAATTTTGACAAACTACCCATGTGTTTTTGATTGACCCTTGTAGCTTTCTGAGCTGTATAGCGGCTTCATCCTTCCAGTTCCATGCAGGTCGATCCACAGGTCCTCCCGGAGTTGCTTCACGACCTCACGTAGAGGTTGCATCGCGGCTGTTGTCCTGGAGATCGTGAGCACACTGCAGCTTCCAGATTGAGCACGGCAGTTGATGATGATCATAACCTTTTCGCCCTGAGCAAATAAAACTCGACATGGCTGACGTTGCTCCCCTCCCCCCACTGGCCACGCCTGGCAGAGTCTATTCGATAGCCCTCGGTGGCAACCTCACAAGGTAAGCGCAAAGTTCGAGCAGCCAAGCGCAATCTCCCAAGGCCAGCATCTTGACTTTTGCAGGTCGGGGTGAAACGGTGCAACATTGGCATCCATGCTTTGATCGCTCGGCCCTATCTAAGAAGGAGCGCGAGGAAGAGACCGGGAGATCAAGCAAGCCCTTCTGCGTGCATGTGTCTCTGGGCGCAGAAAGCCGAGTGCGTCGCCCGGATGTCCTCCAGCAGAGCACCTCGACACGTAAAGGTTCAAGCAACTAAAGGTTCTTATACTGGAGGCCTGCAAGGGGGAGCATTCTGTCACAATACCTAAACACTGCCAAGAGATGCCACTCCGTGACAAAAGCAGATGGCAGCCCTGCGTGGACCCCAAAAGATTCGCGGCTCTGGGCTCCATGCTCGTTGAGCTACCGCTGCAGGAGACCTCTCGCCCAAAGCGCGAGGCTCCCCAGCATTCGATCTTTTGATTCTGGTTTTGAAACTCAAACTCATGTGCACCACGCAGGCCGGAGGACATGTCCGGCATATAAGCAAAGGGCCACATCATGCCACATCAACGTGTTGTGATTGTAGGAATTTCATTGTAGGAATTTCAGGATATCCCGTCATGAGTAATTCCCGAAAACTAAATGCCCAGCTCCAACTGCAAGCAAGTCAATTGCCTGGCCTCGGTGCTTTTGGGACGACAACGCAGGTCCCTCGCAAAGACGAATGTTATTAGAGATCGTCAGTCATCAGTTGATCTAGGGCGATTAGAGAAGAGCCGCAACCGAGGTAAGGTTTCTGTCGAATGGACGCCCTGCAGGCAAGAAGGTATTCAGAGTTCTGCCGGCTCCTGTATTGGCACTTCACGCCGGCGTCGGGTAATGTGGGATGCATGCTCGGCATTTGCGACGCTAACAGCTTGGGAGCAGGTGATTCGAACTGCTCAAGTCGGTGTGCCCTTGAATTGGAGACTGGCCTGGCCTTTTGCGTCTGCTCCCGCTGGGGCTCTGCCGCGTGGTGCCCTCAGGGCTGATTGTAGCCCTTGGCGCATGGCCTGCACTTCTCAAGCTGAAGATTGGAAGAGGCTCCCCAGAACAACTCCTCGAAGTGGCACGCATGCCACTCACAGTCAAAGCGACAAGTGCCGACTCTTTGATCCAGGCCTTTGTTCATGCGACTGCCCACGACATGATAAGCGGTCTCCGTGCACAAGTCTGTGTCTTTGCGGTTTGGTTTCAAACGGTCTCAGTACATTCGTAGTGTCACGGAGAAGGCTTTCACAAGCAAGTGGCAACGATCTTGTCAATGTCATGTAGCACAGTTTGGTCCGGGATCCCAGGCATTGTGGCAATGCATGCTCAGCATGACCATCTGTGCGAGCAACGACCAGCAATGTTGAAAATTTTGAAGGCGGAATGACAGGGCACATCTCGCAGACCCAAACGACACTGTCCACTCCGACCTCGCCATCAAGAAAATGCGGTTGGAGGGAGCACATTCTTTTGGTCGGGCGCCGAGCGCTCCTTGAGCACTTTGGCTCAGGGTGAAGAGATGGGGATAGCCTTCGGCACCCCATCTTCCGAGGCCACTCGCACTAGACTGGCCGGTTCAGGAACCTCCCTTTCTCATCAATTCCAAGACGCATCCAGCCCAAACGCCTCCAGAGTTCCGAGCCACTTCTTGGGCCACTAGCCCAAAAGCGCTGGCAAGACCGCAGCATGTGGCAATCCACCGAAAGCAGTCATGGAGAACGCGCCGACAAGGAGAGATTTGGCCGTTCACGTATTCGAATTTTGCCAAGCAGCTGACCCAGCCTCAGCACAACCAAGCAAGGCTTCCAGGTGCATCGGGTTGCTTAGCAACCTGGCAGCCCCCTGGCAGCCCACATCGCATATTGCTGGACAAGCAGCAAGTCTGTTGCATAGATGTGCCCCGAGGACAGCCGTGGAGCAGCGAGGCCTTCACACTTGGAGCTTGATAAGCTTCTCACTTGGACAATCTTCAAACTCTGTGCAACTCAGTGTCTCGGCTCACA